ATCTACCAAGGATATTACTTGTTATAACTGTGGTCAAAAAAGTCATTATTCAAATAAATGTAAAGAAAAACAAAAACTAAAAGATAAAGTTAATCAACTTCAAATTGATGATAACTCCAAAAATCAATTATACGAAATTTTTCAATTAAATCAATCTATTACTAGTTCCTCTTCTTCTGACCATCCTGATACTTCATCTGATTACCAATCCCCAAGTGATGATTCTAATGACAACATTAATATAGGTTGTAATGATGTTTGTTGTAAACTAGTTAAACAAGTTACTGTTCTTACCAAAAACACTCAAGAAGAATCCGCCCTTATTGACCTTATTAGTAAATTAGATGATCCAAAATTAAAACAAAAATATACTGATAAATTAAAATCCTTATTAATCCATTCCAATACTAAACCAAAGTTTGATAAACCCATAATAAGTTTAACCAAAACTTTAGAATGATTTAAAAATAAACACAAAGAAGTTACGTTACCAGATTTACAACACGAGATCAATCAGATTAAACTAACAATCAAAGAATTACAACATAAAGATAAAAAACTCGAAGATGAAATTATTACTTTAAAACTTAATAAAAGTTTAGATAATTTCCAACATAATGAGCAAGAATCCCCACATGAACATGAATCTGAATATGATTCTGATCCTACTAATCCTGATAATGTGCTATTTGACAACCGATCACCTCACTCTCAATCCAACAATCCTGAAGAAAAACGGTTAAGTTTAATTAATAAACTTTACATTCAAAAATGGTATTCTAAAATCAAAATAATTGTCAATAATTTTGAATTAGAATTAATTGCTTTAATTGATACTGGTGCTGATTTAAATTATATACAAGAAGGTTTACTTCCTACGACATATTATGAAAAATGTCAAGAGAAATTAACTTCTGCTAATGGTACTAGAATGCATATCAAATATAAATTACCTAAAGTTCATGTTTGTCAAGATAATGTCTGTTTTAAAACCTCTTTTGTTTTAGTTACCAACATGACTGATAAACTTATTTTAGGTTCCCCATTTATATATTTATTATATCCATTTAATACATCTAGTACAGGTATCACTACACATGTTTTAGGCCAACCTGTTACATTTCCATTTTTATCTCCTCCTGAACTATTACACTTAAATCAATTAAAAGACTGTTCTATTTCCCATCAAATTAATCGTCTAACTCGGCATTTAAATTTTCTTAAAGAAGAAATTAATCATAAACGCATTGACCAACAATTGACGAATCCAGTTCTTATTTCTCAAATCACTGATTTCAAATTAAAACTTGAATCAACTGTTTGTTCTACTTTGCCTACTGCATTCTGGCATAGGAAAAAACATGTAGTCACTTTACCTTATATTAAAAATTTTGATGAACGACATATTCCTACTAAATCTCGACCAATTCAAATGAATCATGAATTACTTGAACTATGTAAAAAAGAAATTAACGACTTATTATACAACCGAATCATTCGTCCAAGTAAATCACCATGGCCTTTCTCTGCTTTTTATGTTAATAAAAATGCTGAATTAGAACGTGGTGTCCCTCGTTTGGTTATCAATTATAAACCTTTAAATGATGTTCTAGAATGGATTAGGTATCCTATTCCTAATAAAAAAGATTTAATTAAACGACTCAGTCAAGCTGTTATTTTCAGTAAATTCGATTTAAAAAGTGGTTTCTGGCAAATTCAAATTCATCCAAAAGATAGATATAAAACTGCATTTAATACACCCTTTGGCCAATATGAATGGAATGTCATGCCATTTGGTTTAAAAAATGCTCCTAGTGAATTTCAACATATAATGAATGACATCTTCAACCCATTTAGTCATTTTTCAATTGTTTACATTGACGACATATTAATTTTTTCAAAATCAATTAGTGAACACTGGAAACATTTAACTGCATTCTTTCATACTATCAAGAATCATGGTCTTGTCATTTCTGCTCCTAAAATTAAATTATTCCAAACCAAAGTCAGATTTTTAGGTTATGATATTCATCATAATACTATTTTACCCATTAGTCGATCCATTGAATTTGCATCCAAATTTCCTGATGAAATTCTTGATAAAACCCAATTACAAAGGGTTTTAGGCTCCCTTAATTACATTGCTGAATTCTACAAAGATCTTAGGAAAACTTGTCAACCTCTATTTGATAGGTTAAAAGATAATCCTCCTCCTTAGTCTTCTGTTCATACATCTATTGTTCAACAAATCAAACAATATGTCAAGTCTCTTCCTTGTCTTGGTATTCCTACGGAAAATTCGTTCAAAATTATTCAAACTGATGCTTCCGATATTGGTTTTGGTGGCATTCTTCTTCAAAAAGTTACTCCTCAGTCCTCTGAACAAATTGTTAGCTACCATTCTGGTGTCTGGAATAAAGTACAATTAAATTACAGTACTATTAAAAAATAAATTTTATCCACTGTTTTATGTATTCAAAAATTTCAGGATGATATTTTAAATCAAAAATTTTTACTTCGTGTTGATTGCAAATCTGCTAAATATGTTATTGAAAAAGATGTTCAAAATCTTGCTAGTAAACAAATTTTTGCCCGATGGCAAGCTATTTTAAGTATTTTTGATTTTGATATTACCTATATACCTGGCTGTCAAAATTCCCTTCCTGATTTTCTTACCCGGGAATTTTTACAGGGGGGTAAGGGATGACTGCACTATTTACTTCTTACCACAAATCCCGCATTACCTATTTCAAAACCCAGATTAAACAGCTTACCCATCGTATTCACCGCCTCAAATTTGCCCGACCAACTACCAAACGAGCCCAATATATCAATTACCATCAACTTCAAGCCCGTCGCAATTTACTTGCTCATAACTACAATTGTTTACACCGCCATCAAGATTATTTAGATCTTCTTTCTGGCTGCTAATTATTAATTCTTGCTTTCACAGATGTCTCGCCCAAGGCCTCCTTCCAAGGCTTTGGTCCCATCCTCAAGTAACCCAAATCAACTTATTGTCCCTCCTCCTTTGGAGTTAGAGACCCCATCTTATTCACTTGATATGGTTAACCGTTACCAAGCTCTTGGTCATCTTTGTCGCCCTGATTACTCTTGTGCATTGGCTTCTGATCCTTTTACTCCTAATCAATCGGTTTCAGTCACTCCATTCCCAGTTAACCCAATCCGGTCATCCAAAACTGAATACACCAAATCACATATTACTAACTTGTTTTACAAAGAACCCAGTCACCTAAAAAGCCAACTCCTCAATGACATTGCTAAATCCTATTTTGGTCCTGGATGCCATTTCACCCTTTCACATCCAGAAAAAATACTCTCCTATTACAAAGATATTTTACTCCACCACCAATCAATTTTGATTAAACCAATCCAAGATCGCACCTATGCTTACAAGATTCTGTACCATTCCATTTACATTCACAACATTGTTTCCTTAGCTGAATGGGGTCCTCCCTACCAGCTTCGTGATTTACCTGGCCATTCTATCCAGTATAATTACCATGATTACATTGATGCTTGGTTCAAGATTTTCTTGTACCAGAATGAAACTTTTAGTCTCTCTTGGTTCATTTTATTTGACCAGAAATTCAAGTCTGAATTACCTTCCTGGTTTCTGAGATGGTGGACTCACTATGGTGCCATTTCAGCAATCCTCCCTGATAATCTGCTTGAATTAATCAACTATTTTGCTACCGTTTACCCATTTACTACTCATCAGAGATCATTCCCATTATTGTTAATTTTTATAGCCAAGTATAAAATCCCTTGGATATTCAAATGGCATTATGGGATTGATGGTAACATAATCATCCGACATCACTCAGTTAAATGGTGGGCTAAATTCAATTTGCCCTGCATATTTGAAATTGTTCACGAAGAATTTCCATCTGCCCAATGTGCTCCAACCCCTGCAATGGTTAAAGCCCAGCAGATCCCAACTGCTGCAATCAGTCAAGGAAGTCAGCCCAGCCTTCCTCCAATTAATCTTGGCAGCCCCTCATCTAGTGGTTCCAAGCCCAAATTCAAAACAGCCCAGTCAGCACAATCAAAATCCAAGGCTAAGTCCAAAGCTCCTGCAGCTCCGACTCAGCCCAAAGACCATTTACGACCCAAATCAAAATCCAAAGCAAAAGCTAAGCCCATTTCTCCTCCTGTTCAGCCCAAAGCTCAATCAAAGGTCAAGCCCAAATTATCTAGAGAAGAACTGCTCCAGTTAGCCCTACAAATCACGGACCAAGCTGAAGCCCAATCCACTTCCAGTTCATACCATTCAGAAGAAGGATCAGTTAGTGCACACTCTTCTGAAGAATCAACTAATCAGTATTCAGGTCCTGAGTTTCAAGATGCTCAAGACCCGTTTGCCTAATCAACATAGGATTCCATATAAATACAAATTAGCTTCAGTCACTACTCTTTTGAGAAAAGTTGCCAATTTGTATTTATATTGATTCCTTTATTCACATGTTCCACCGAAAGTGATGAATAGTAAAAGTTACTGTTCACTTTTACTGTTCACCGTCACTATTCACCCAATCAACTTTTGCTAAAGGCTGTTCCGCTGTGCAATCACCTCGCCGAAAGCATCCGACAGCATCTCCTTTACTTCATGATCTGTCAGCTGCTTTCAGAAGTCACATGCTCACTGTTCTACTTTTATTTCTATATATTATAATCAATTGTAAGCATTCAGGCATTCGTCAATTTTCTTCCCCTTCATGGTTGTAAGAAAAACCAGAGTGTGCTGAGTGCTCTTTGATTTCGTTCCCTTTGCACCTAGTTAAGATCCTTACAATTGCTACAATTGTAATTGTAAATTATTTTGAATATTTTAATTAATGTTTTAAATTAAATGTTAAATTTCGTAATTCATCATCTTCATTCCATTCGTTATGTCTGCTTTCGCCCTTTTGCCCTTTTGGATTCGTATTTTAAGTAAATTTTAATAAATATTTTAAATAAAATTGAGTCTCGTCTCCTTTGTCTTTGTCTTTGGCTTTTTCTCTCTCTTTCTCCCCCGTCAAACATAGCAATAGCGAGAGCTTCTACAATCAAACGACTGTAACAAATTGATGAATTGTTGATCAGATCGGTCAAGGGCTCACTTTCAACGTCTCGCTGTCTCAAAAAAAAAGAAAGATGCAAGAAATCTCCACTGCTGCTTTGATTTCCAGACGAAGATTATTAGCTCATAATTACCGAAAAGGTATCACTCTTCTTCCCCTCGTCAATTTCAACTTCAATTTCAACTTCAACCCATTGTTGTCAGCTGATAACAACAATGCACTTCCGTTTCATACTCAAATTTCAACGAACCCTAATCGTAATCTTCCTGATCGGAGGCAACTACGCAAATTTCTGTTAGAGAAATCCAAATTGGGGTTTGGTAAGCTCGATGATGCTCTTAGTTTATTCCATCGGATGGTCCAAATGCAACCCCTTCCTTCGGTTATCGAATTCACTAAGCTGTTAACTGGTATTACCAGGATGAAGCATTATTCCACCGTTATTTCTCTGTTTAAAGAAATAAGCTTGTTGGGTATTACGGTTGATGATTATACCCTGAATGTCGTAATTAATTGCCTTTGCCACTTGAATCGAGTAGATTATGGGTTTTCTGTCTTGAGTAGCTTCTTCAAACTTGGTTATGTACCATGTGTAGCTACTTTCAACACTCTAATGAATGGGTTCATTTTACAAGACAAGACTGGCAAGGCCATGGAATTGTTTAATAAATTGGTAACAGAGGGAGAAATCAAACCTGATGGAGTTATGTACGGAACTATTATAAATGGGCTTTCCAAGACGGCAAATACTACAACTGCCATCGGGATTCTTAGGAGTATGCGAAAATGGAACTATAAGCCTAATGTTGTGATGTATAACACAATTATTGATGGCCTTTGTAAGGACAAAAATGTAGATGATGCTTTGAACCTCTTAGTGGAAATGACCCAGCAGGATATATCACCAGACTTGATCACTTACAACACTTTGATTCACGGATTATGTAATTTAGGCCGGTGGGAGAAAGCAACAAGAATGTTGAGAGACATGACAGACCGGAATGTTTTTCCAAATGTTCGTACCTTTAGTACATTGATTCATGCATTATGCAAGGAAGGGATGGCAAAAGAAGCAGAGAGTGTTCTTGAATTCATGGTACAAAGAGGTGTTGGTCCCGATGTAGTCACATACAATACACTCATAGATGGTTATTGCTTGCTAGGTCACATGGACAGAGCAATAGAAGTCTTTCATTCCATGATGGATAAGGGCATTGAACCAAACATTCTTTCCTATAACATTTTGATCAATGGATATTGCAAAAATATGAAAATTGAAGAGGCCATGAATGTTTTCCGTGAAATGCCTCATAAAGGATTGAAACCCACAATTGATACTTACAATACTATGTTGCAGGGATTGTTTGGGGTTGGTAGGTGTTCTACTGCTCAAGGACTTCTGAATGAGATGCAAGCTAATGGTCAGACTCCAGATTATTATACTTATTGTGTCCTACTGGATGGATTATCCAAGAATGGCCATATTGATGAAGCATTGTTGTTATTTCAAGAGCTGGAATGCAGTGGCGTAAATCCTGGTATTACTATGCACAATATATTAATTGATAGATTGTGCAAAGATGGGAAGCTTGAGATGGCAAGGAATCTATTTGGTAAGCTTGACTCTAAAGGTTTGCGGCCTGATGTTCGCACTTTTACTATGATGATAGGTGGATTTTGTGAACAGGGGCTATTGGGTGAGGCAAATGATTTACTTGTGACGATGGAAGGGACGGGTTGTATGCCTAATTATGCAACTTACAATGTTATGGTCCGTGGATTCCTTAAAGCAAATGACTACACTGAAGCAAATATACTTGCGGAGAAAATGATTGGGAGGGGCTTTTCAGCAGATGCATCTACTTTGGCTACAATAGTGGATTTGCTCTCCGCTGAAGGTCAAGATCCTACACTACTCTCTTTCGTATGATTAAAAAATTGGTTCCCCGGGATAACACTGAAGGAATTTGTTAAGCTATCAACATGGATGCTATCTTCGGTGGTCATATGTCTGCTTAGAATTTGCTAGGTAAGTATTTAGTTTACTGTTTCTGTCATTTTCAATTTTACACTAATCATCTTAAGCATACATTGCTTATCATAAAGTGAAGGTTCAATTTACAATTTTTGTCTTTTAAATTGGAATATGATTCTTGTTGATTTGTTTTGGTAATAGAAAAAAAGAATGGAAGATCATTTAAGGACGAGGAGTTGATGGGTTCTACTTTGAAACAGTTGATGCTTGGTTGATTGCTTGCAAATGATGCTATTTACAATGTTATTGTCCACTGCCAAGAACAAAACTGCTATATAATCATTCTTATGCTATTTACTTGGCAGGATTCAAAAAGTCAATTTGGGTACTTCTCTTGATTTATATGCAAACATGGAAGAAATTCTAAAAAGTAATAGATTCTCAACAAAGTTTGAATTCATCTACCACCAGACCTGCAGTTTTACAAAGGTTGAAGGTTACAAGGAAATCATTGCATTAATGGTTACAGAGTAAGTACTATTAGAAGGTGATAGTATTTAGTATTTAGCAACACAAAATTTTGTGCATAATGTTCTTCTTACCTTTGCCATACTTCTGTTTAATTGTTTCTGAAACAGAATATAAAGGCAACTGATGCCATATACCATATTGGAAATGCAACTGATGCCATATTCCATATTGGAAATGCCATATACCATTTGTAGATTGCAATGTTTTTTTTGATATTCGGGTGTCCGGGCCACGTTTGTAGATTGCAATATTATAAATTTGAAAATGCTCTTTCTATTTGTTCCTTGCTCATTTTTTGGTATGTTGTTCTGTTATTTTGCCCTTAATTGATTTAAATCTCATGTTTTTTCTTGTGATTGCAACTATGACAACAAATATCTAAGATTGGTAAAGGTTTTTGGTAATTTGAGGATGAAAATTTAACCGTTGATCTGTAAGCATATAATATGACAGTAGGGAAACATGCAGTTTTTAGTTTTTGAGTTTCTGGCTTTCTATTACAACAGGGTTTGAATTTGGACTGATGGGATTGACCTTTTGAATGCGATACCTTAAATTGGTTAGCAAGCATTACCGATGTTCTAATTATGGACTTTTTATGTACTAATAAGTGATTCCAGGATCTATTGTGGTAACAAATTTATAGTGATTGATTAACATTTTGCAGGTAACATTTCGCTGCCTCGCTCAGCTTCTCTACCTGTATTTCGTTTCTTTAGCATGAGATCGTTGGCCACAAATGAGGTGTAACCTTAGCTCATTGCTCATATCCAATGTCTATGGTGTCAGTGTTACTTTTTGGCACACTCCTTGACTTTTTGGCAGCAACTTGAGTTTTTCTCAACTCGATACGTTTTACTGCTTACTGGGCCTATTAAGTGGTGTGAATTTTTTGCATTACCTCCTCTGGGCTAGACTGCTACAAGTACAGATCAACATGGCGACAACAATGATAGTGAAATTCAAACAGTGAAGTAACTACAATATGACAATTCTCTAGTCTGTTCATGTTCTCATCCAGTGGTCGAAGGCAATTCTCTAGAACTTTGACCTCGACATTTGATATCCTATATGACGACTAGTTTTTGTTTTGAACTTGTTTTGGCAAAGATGCATTTTGTGTTTTAACATTCATGCAATATATGGGCATCATTAATTCCATTCATCAAAAAAATCTCCCCTCATCTCACAATTAACCGACAATTCTGGCACTAGAGATCAATATAATTTCTAAAATTATATGAATTTTCTTATAAATATTAGAAGTAATTGGGTAATGAGTATCTAGTTGAGTTTTTAAAAAATAGAAAGTTGTTTGAAAAAAGAAGTAAAACACCCAAAAAAATATTTTTGAAGAAATTATAAAAAAGATTCTAGGGTTTGATCATTGTAACAAAATAAATTGAGAGTTTTAATTTTATCAATTTAAAACATAATTTTTTGATTTGTTTTCGATCTATATCATTCTCTTATTTTTTCAAATAAAATTGACAGAACAAAAAAAGTATTTGTCACTAAATTCAATATAATTGTCTATAAAGTAGCTAAAGTATAATTCTCATTGAATTTTATGACTAAAATATTATTTTTTTTTCATCTGTTTAACTACATTTCACAGAAATAGACAAATAGTTTAAATTAAAAATAAATCAAAATTTTAGAGTTTAAATTGATAAAAATAAAAATATTATTTTATTAAAATAGTCAAACTCTAACTTATTTATTTATTTTTTAAAAAAACTCTAAATATTTTTTATTTTAAAAAAATTACTTACTCATTTTCTTCATCAATCATAATACTATAAAATATCAGGCGTACATATTCTAGGATTAGTGCAACTGTGAAAAGAAAGGTGGAACAAAGTGGTCTCAGTGACTAGCGAATTGATGAATCCATGATCAGATCACTCAAGACTTAAATTCTAACAAGAAATTCTAAGGAGTAGATTCTCAACAAAGTTTGGATTCATCTACAGACTACTGCCAGACCTGCAGTTTTACAAAGGTTGAATGAAGGGTTAATGGTTACAGCGACAAGCCCTATTAGACGGTAATAGTGTTTAGTATTTAGCAACACAAAAATTTGTGCATAATGTACTCCTTAGCTTTGCCATACTTCTGTTTAATTGTTTCTGAAACAGAATATAATGGCCACTGATGCCATATCCCATATAGGAAATTCAAGCATGTTCTGCCATTTGTAGATTGCAATATTATAAAATTGAAAATGCACTTTCTTTCTTTTTTTTCTTTTTTTTTGATTGCAACTATGACAACAAATATCTAAGATCGGTAAAGTTTTTGGTAATTTGAGGTTTGCCGAAAATCTATAAACATAATATCACCGTACCTATTTCATCAAGGGGGTATCTACATAAAAAACATATACCAAACAACAGAATCATAATTTTACTCAAGTGTAAGCAAGTACATTTTAACCTATTATATCATAGACTTCTAAACATTACAATATTGCTTAATTTGTTACTGCGACATTGAATGCAAATAAGTATTATGTTCACGGTACAAAAAAGATACATTAAATTTTTAGCATCGGATTTAAACCCCAAGTCCTCCCCTCCTCTGACCCCAATGAAAAAATGACAACTTCAAAATCCTCATGCTCAACAGAGTCTGGGAAATACACAAATTACCATAACGAAATCCTCTCAATTTAAAATCTTCCAACACTGATAATATCCAACCCTTCTGCTGCAAGCTGTGTTTGAACTTCGGTCTCAACTCCTTCTTGTGCAAACAAAAAATGGCAGGGAATTGTGAAACTTGTCTGCCGACAATGTTAACAACACACCAAGTTTGTTCTTTCTTTTTTTTTCACTTTTTTTCTAATTCTTTCACCCCTCGCAAACCCCCACCCACAAATTCCTCTAAAATTTGAGATCCTAACATAACCTAATTAAACACAGGGAAGAGTCTGCAATATTGTGGTGGATGAACTTTATCTTTTCTTCACCTTCTATCTACATCGTAGAACAAACACAATGTGTGCATGTAGAAACACACTACATTCTAAAAATAAAGATCAATTAAAACATAACAAAAATTGGTTTCTTTTGAGTTCTTATATTCTTTGACTTCATATTTTGTTATTCTTTTAAAAATTACATTCTGCCTAGGACAAGACTATTTGACTTTCCCACAATTGAATTTTAAAAAACAAAATATAAATAAACAAATAAAATCATTTTCATTTAAATAACCTGTCAAAATAGTTTTTAAATTAAATATAAACTTAACTTGAAATTGGTTACTGGCAACTCTGATTTTTCCATTCAATTCTTTGTTTTGTTGCCCTTTTGCTTAATTCAAACCCACCTAAATGAAAATGCTTTAACGTTTCTGCTACATTGAATTGAGCAAACCAGAGACCATGAAAACTATTAACATAACATTACACATTTCTGACCTGGCTAACTCTTTGATTTTTAGAATATAGACTAATAGTGGTTCAAACTTCAAACCATGGCCAAGTCAATATCAAAATAATCCATCTATGCCAAGTCAACAGAACCCATTAACATTTGAACATACAAACTATGAACACATGCTTATAAAAGTTAATTTTTGTCGTTTTATTGGATTTTTTTTTATCATAGACTAGCAAAACAAATTAGTTTATATAATTTAATAATCTAAATTTATATTTAAAGCAAAATGAGATTCAAGTACTATCTTTTTCATTTTAATTTTAATGGAGAAACGTAAGTCATAACAAATTTATTGAAACCCCAAAATTAAGTATATAAAATCTTTTCAAATATATTAAATTTCTTAATTTGAAGTCAGGGGAGAAATAAAGGTATCTCAAAATCCTCTATATAAGATTGGAACCTGTAAATCTTATACTATAAAATGATGCTACACAACCACCTAAGTCAAATGCCATAACTAAAGAGTGCTGCTATTAACACTCCATCAATTATTTTAGACCCCTCATTTTTTGGAACCCCACTTATAAATTTTAAAACTCTTAAAAAAAAATTTCTCCCCCCAAATAATACCAAAATTATCCTTATAAAAACATTTCACTCATTCAATTGAAAGCACACCCCCACACCTCAAAAAGCCTCTCCCAAAAACCCTAACAAAACCCACAAGGTGATTACTATTTCATCTCCACATACTTGTTCATGACATGAGAAAATAAATATATGATTTTTTGTTGCTAATTCAAAATTCCTTTTTTGTGATTCTGCAATCTCTACGAATTTTAGTTATTTGCTCCCAAACAAATAAGAAATGTTCAGTTACCTGTTCCCAAACAAATGAACAATGTTCGGACCTATGTTCCCGAATTTTGGTCATATGTTCGGGAGTTCAATCCCAAAAAAATGACGAACAGTTTTTATTATTTTTGCCATTTTTTTCAAGAAACTTATCCTTATAAGGCCAATCTCCTCTGAGCTAAGAATACCATCAAAGTTATGAATCTCCTCTGAGCTTTTATTGTTGTACTTCTCTCGTCTCATGGAGTTATGGTTGCCAAAAAAACTTTTACTCATTGTCATTGTCGGAGAAGTGCAGGTAATCAAACGGTTGTCACCGTTATTGCTGTAATATTACTACCAAAGGGTTTTCAAGTTTTTGAAAATGGATAGGTTTTAAATGAGGAATTCGGGGGAGATGGATGGATGGTGATGAAGGTGGATATTCTCATAAACCCTAACTCATGATGTAATAAGTGTGTGAGCTTAATTGTAAGATAGAATGTCACAAAATTATTTGACATTCGTTTTAGTAATTTCATTTGAAGTTATTATTGTAATAAAAAAAAGGATAAAAAATAGGGGATTTAAAATAATTGATGGGGTGCTAATAGCAGTAATTTAACTAAAACATATGGGGGCTACTATTAGCACCTACTTATTTTCTTAAGACCCCCCTCTTTTTCATTTTTTTTTAATTCCAATTTTGTCCAAATGTAAATTTTCATTTATATCCTCATCCCTAACTCTCTAACTCTAATTTCCCAAAATCCTAACCCTAACCCTAATTCCACCGATACCTCTGCTACCACCCATAATCATCGACACCGCTGTTACTGCCCATCATCGTTGCCTTCTACAATCATCGTTGGGCTGATGTATTGCCACCATCATTGATCGTGTGTAAGAAAGAGAAAGTCACGAAGAAGAAGAGAGAGAGAGAGAGATCGCTAACCATTGCCATCGTAACCCTTACATTCACAAGCCATTGCGAATACCTCGTCACCATCGTCGCAGCCCACCACCATCGTGGCTCGATTTCCTATTTCAGATCTAGGGTTTTGAGGAAAGAAGAAGAAGAAAAAGAAGAAGAAGAGAAAAGGAGGTCGAAGGATCTAGGGTTTTGATGGCAGTTAGGTCACGATTTGGGTTGTGATCTAAAGAAGAAGAAAACAAAAAGAGGATGAAGAGGTAGTAGGGTGGGTGGTTATGGAAGCGATAATGCAGGGGGAGACGATTTTCAGATCGCGATGGTGTAATGGTGGTTTGCTGAAGCAAAGACATAGGAGGTACAGAAAAAGAAGAAAGATCGGAGGTGGGCTACTAAAGGCAACGACAATGGTGTTGGAGGTGGTGGTCGGGAGTGGGGGCTACAGCTAGGGTTTGGGTTTGAGTTTAGGTATAGTTGGTATTAAAGTGGTGGTTCAAAAAGAAAATAATGGGAACTCATTTTGCTGAGTGAGGGTTCAAAGAATTGGGGTGCCCAAAATAAAAAGATATGTGTTAATAGCAATCCTCAAAACACACATATATATATATATATATGTAATAAATTAATTAATTAATAATTTTTCTTTTTAACAAAAATTTATCTTTTAGTCGTGAGTACTTAGGTAAATATTAAAGGAGTATCACTATTCAAATGACTGAATCAACCCAATCCATTAAAATTTACTTACAAGCAAGCTTATGATGCATGGATGTGATGCCAAAGACTGGGCAATGCCATACACTTAAAAATAGGGTTAAATATATTAGTCATGTTTGGTGTAACTTATAAGGGTAATTATAATTTTTATATTTGTTCTGAGAGTTTGTATTAGAGTGCTTGAGTGTAATTTTTACTTTATGTAAATAAATTGAAATAAA